AAAAAAAAAAAAAAAAGACAGTCTCTTACTCTGTCACCTAGGCTGGAGTGCAGTGACTCGATCATAGCTCACTGCAGCCTCAAACTCCTGGATCTTCCCACCTCAGCCTCCCAGGAAGCTGGGATCATAGGCGTGCATGTGCAGCTACTTTTTCTGTTTTTTTGTAGAGACGTGATCTCACGGTATTACCTAGGCTGATCGTGAACCCCTAGGCTCAAGCAGTCATCCTGCCTGGGCCTCCCAAAGCTCTTGGATTACAGGAGTGAGCCCCCGCTCCCAGCCCAGTACATTTTTAAGAGAAGCTACTTCCTTCCCTTTACTGCATGTGCGTTGTGACAGAGAACAGCAATCACTACGTGCAGCTCGCTCCCACTACCTTCATCTGTGCTAAGGTGCCTTTCACCGTCAGCTCAAATGTCAACACAGTGAAAACGGCCAATAGGATCTTAGTATTCTTATGAAAATAGTTGGGCCTCACGGACCTCCTAGAAGGGTCTTGGGAATCCCTAGGGCACCATGAACTTTGAGAACCACTCTCTTTAGGTGGCAGTTGCTGAAAGATTATGCACCAAGAGACATTACCATTAGGAAGCAGAGAACAGTGGTGCAGTGCCATGTATGTCGAGGGTGACACTCTTCTGGCATAACTTTTTCTGCCTTTTAATGGCTCATGAAGTTCTTCCATTTGTTTGTGATATCTCAGTACAATTTTAAAATGCTGAAACAGAGATTTTGGTAATTCGGCACCTGTGTTTGCTGATGTTTTTACCGTATTACGTATAACATGTCATTCAGAAAATTCCGAAAGTCACTTCCTAAACTTTTTATTTTCTCTAAAGGTAAATCCCACCTGGCTATCGTGCAGCGGGTAAACAATGAGGGAGAAGGAGATCCGTTTTATGAAGTTCTGGGAATTGTCACCTTAGAAGATGTGATTGAAGAAATCATCAAATCTGAGATTCTAGATGAAACAGATTTATACAGTAAGTAGCACTGTCTGAGTGTATTTCCTGAAACCTTTGCTTTTTTTGTTGTGCTGTTTGTGAGTCATCTGACAGTTCTCCAGTTGCTGCCTTTGTTTATAATGATACATGACGTGTGTAGGCCGTGCATGACCTGTCGGTATATTCCAATCCCTTTAACAGAAGGAGCATATCCTGTAATGTCAAGCGACAGCATTGTTCTGGCTGCTTCTAACCACTGATGAGGGCATTACTTGTTCTAAACAGAAAACTGCTGTTGGTTTTGAATTTTATTTTACATATGTTAAAAAAAAAAAAACTCTACTAAAATTTCGTTTTATACAACTAGGTATATTGTTTTCAGATAAACTTCTGTTTGTACTTTTCATAACTCAAGTACTCTTTAAAGTGAATGGGAGGCCAGGCACAGTGGCTCACATCTATAATCCCAGCACTTTAGGAGGCCAAGGCAGGAAAATCACCTGACGTCAGGAGTTTGATACCAGCCTGGCTGACATGGTGAAACCTTGTCTTTACTAAAGATACAAAATTAGCTGGATATAGTGGTAGTGGTGCATGCCTGTAATTCCAGCTGCTGTGGAGGCTGAGGCAGGAGAATTGCTTGAACTGAAGAGACAGGGGTTGCAGTGAGCCAAGGTTGCGCCACTGTACTCCAGCCTGGTTAACAGAGTGAGACTCCGTCTCCAAAAAAAAAAAAAAAAAAAAAAACACAACTGAATGGGATTTGTTAAACTTATGGATGACAACTGTTTATACTTTCTTGTTCCAGAATCCTTGGGTCGGGGTTGGAGGTGAGATTTGCAAGTGTAGTTTGCTGGGGCAGCGGGTTGGGGGTGTGGGAAGCAGGATAGGGTAGGGTTCACAGTAAGAATGTGTTTTTCCTGTTCTCTGCTTCTCTGCCTTCTCTTTTGGTGAAGGTGAAAGTGGGGAGTGGCTCAGATCAGGGCAGGGTGAGGTGAGTATGGATACCTTATTTGCCCAGGTGTAGACTTGATCCTGAACTGAGTGTTGAACTGAGTCCTGTCTCATTAAAGTATAAAACATGATTGCTGGACTGTGGAGCTTAAATCTTCCTTGGCCACACCGTTAGCAATGCTCAAGGGTTCCATAAAGCCAGAGATGGCCCAGGCCTGAGATGTTTGGGGGTCCCAGGGGTGGGATAGAGAAAGAGCATCTGGGCTCTGTGTATGCTGCCTGGTTTTAAAGCATGTCTTCCGGAGGGGAAATGGACTATCCCAGCTTCCCCACAAGCTGGTCATTCAGGGTAAAGTCTGCTTTCCTCAAAGCAGGGTGCTTTTTATTCAGTCCTGCTAGAAGGAAACATCCCACATTTTAAAACTGAGGAAGTTTGGGAGGCCAAGGCCGGCAGATCACAAAGTCAAGAGATCACGACCATCCTGGCCAACATGGTGAAACCCCGTCTCTACTAAAACTACAAAAATTAGCTGGGCGTGGTGGCACGTGCCTGTAGTCCCAGCTACTTGGGAGACTGAGGTAGAACAATCACTTGAACCTGGGAGCCGGAGGTTGCAGTGAGCTGAGATTGTGTCACTGCACTGCAGCCTGGTGACAGAGCAAGACTCTGTCTCAAAAAAAAAAAATTGAGAAAGTCACTGGGCGTGTTGGCTTACCCCTGTAATCCCAGCACTTTGGGAGGCCGAGGCAGGTGGATCACTTGAGGTCAGGAGTTAGAGACCAGCCTGACCAACATGGTGAAACACCGTCTCTACAAAAATACAAAAATTAGCTGGGTGTGGTTTCACGCACCTGTGATCCCAGCTACTCGGGAGGCTGAGGCAGGAGAATCTCTTGAACCTGGGAGATGGAGGTTACAGTGAGCCAAGATTACACCACTGCACTCCAGCCTGGGCAATAGAATGAGACTCTCTCAAAATAAATAAATAAATAAATAAAACTGAGAAAGTCTTCCCTGTACCCACAAAAGAAAAAAATTTTACATTTAACTAATGACTGTCTTCTGAAAACATATCCTGTTTTATCCTCACATCTGAATAGCGTTCTTAAAAAGCACCCTTTCCCACATCTGTTTTATCCTTTCCTCACTTAGAGGGTCATCAGAGGTCTCAGAGAATATTATTTGTGTGTTTATGTTCTTTTCATCCTTCCTCACAAATGACTATTTAAAAACTGAGTGTGGCCGGGTGCGGTGACTCATACCTGTAATCCCAGCACTTTGGGAGGCTGAGGCAGGTGGATCACAAGGTCAGGAGATTAAGACCATCCTGGTCAACATGGTGAAACCCCATCTCTACTTTAAAAAATACAAAAATTAGCTGGGCGTGGTGGTGTGCACCTGTAGTCCCAGCTGCTCGGGAGGCTGAGGCAGGAGAATCACTTGAACCCTGGAGGCAGAGGTTGCAGCGAGTAGAGGTCACACCACTGCACTCCAGCCTGGTGACAGAGCAAGATTCTGTCTCAAAAAAAAAAAGTGTGTCTCTGTATTTCTTTTTCCCCAGGGGTGATACTTAACATTAGAAAGGCGATGTACCATTTAGGAGATCCTGTATTTGCACTTCAGTTTTATACAAATGTTAGTTTAACTTCTTTTAAGCCTTTATTGGACTGATTTCCTACAGAAGTGTTGCCTAATGTTACCTACTGGCTCAAGATGCTGGACTTGTGATTTCATGTATTTCTTTTCTTTTTTTTTTTTTGATACTAAGTCTTACTCTATTGCCCAGGCTGGAGTGTACAGTGGCGCGATCTCACCTCACTGCAACCTCCACCTCCCGGGTTCAAGCGAGTCTCCAGCCTCAGCCTCCTGAGTAGCTGGGATTACAGGCACCCACCATCGCGCCTGGCTGATTTTTATATTTTTAGTAGAGACAGGGTTTCATCATACTGGGGAGACTGGTGTCAAACTCCTGACCTCAAGTGATCCACCTGCCTTGGCCTCCCATAAGTGCTGGGATTATAGGCGTGAGTCACCGTGCCTGGCCAATTTCAGGTATATTCTTGATCTGGATAGAGATTGGGAGTGACAGCTATTGCCATTAGAATTATTTTTAAATTCTGTATTGATTTCTGCTGTCTAGTTCTCAAAAGAATTGAGGCAGACGAAAAGTAGAAGTTGTGATCACCTTCTCAGGAAAAGCCTAGTAATCAATCTGTTTTGCTCCATGCAAGAAACAATAATGCAGTGAGTCAATTATTGGGAAGGAGCAAGCGATTGGGGTCTTGTCTTTAAGCTCTTTTTTTCTTGATCATTACTTTGTCCAGAAAAGTACTTAAAAGATGGTTTTGCAGGAAGTACCTTCCAGGTCAGGAGCTGGCAAACCACAGCCGATGAGTGCCTGTACTCTGCTTCTGTGTGACCTGCAAGCTAAGAATGTCTTTTCACATCTTAAAATTGTTGTAAAATGGCCAACATGGTGGCTTATGTCTGTAATCCTAGCACTTTGGGAGGCTGAGGCAGGAGGATTGCTTGAGCCCAGGAGTTCAATACCAGCCTGGGCAACATAGTGAGACTCTGTCTCTACAAAAAATTTAAAAATTAGCTGGGCATGGTGGCAAACACCTGCAGTCCCAGCTACTTGGGAGGCAGAGGTGAGAGGATCACTTGAGCCTTGGAGTTGAGGCTGCTGTGAGCTGCGATTGTGCTGCTGCACTCCAGCCTGGGCAATAAAGCAAGAACCTATCTCAAGAAAAGAAAAAAGAAAAGAAAAAAAAAAAGAACAATTACTTTGTGACGTGCAAAAATTATATGCAATTCAAATTGCAGTGTTCATAAAGAAAGTTTGATTGGAAAACAGCCATGCTCCTTCATCTTTCTAAACAGCAGTGTGGAGATTGTGTAGACCCGCAGAGCCTAAAATATTGACTCCCTGGACCTTTTCAGAGGAAGTTCACGGACCACTGTCCGGATCCCATTCGCATCTGCTTGACCTTGAGGATCTCATGGTCTGGAGTAGCAGTGAAGCAAACAGATATTATTAAAACACTGCTCTGCGAAAGCATTCTTGTTTGTTTCTTAAGGGGGTTTCGTTTGTGTGTTGTCTTTCAGCAGAGGTGAGGGGCCTCTTACAGGTAGGGACACTCCTCCCTTGTGTGTACACAGTGGTGGTCCTTTGCTGGAGTATGGTGACATTGAGCAGCAGTGGACTGTGCACTCCAGGCTGCACGCGCTGTTGCTATATGCTTCTGTGGGTCCTGTGAGAGGCTCTGTCAGCATTTGCCTGATGCTATGCTCACAAGGGCCCTCTGCAGACCTTCCTGAAGTACATTCACTAATCAGGCTGCCTGTGGTCACTCGCTGCGGACTGCGTGGTGCCCAGGCTGCTGTGCTGAGTTGATGAGGATCTGGCCCTCCCTCCCTCCTTCCCTGTGGCATCTGTGCATAGAGCGCCTGCATCTGGAAATACAGTCCAGCCCTTCCAATATATTTTGTCTTTTTCATTCAGAAAGAGCCCTGATCTCATGGGATGCATTTTCTTATTTTTTTTTTCTCTTTTCATTCCTCCCTTAGCTGACAACAGAACAAAAAAGAAAGTAGCTCACCGGGAACGAAAGCAAGATTTTTCTGCCTTTAAGCAGACAGACAGCGAGATGAAGGTTAAAATATCACCACAGCTCCTCCTGGCCATGCACCGTTTCCTAGCAACAGGCAAGTGCAGCTTATCACAGTTTGAGATCTCTACCAACCCTGGAGTGTGTTTCTCACCCACCACTGACTGGGGTGGGCTGGGGGTGGACACTGGGAAATGGGGTGATAAGTAATGCCACTTTTGTGTTTTGTTTTTTGTTTTTTTGTTTTTTTGTTTTGTTTTGTTTTTTTCTTTTTAAATTCTCTCCTCTCCTATGTTCAGTGTCGGCATGAACCCTCTGAGACATTTACCAGGGGTGGACCAGTAACTTAAAATTGGTCTGAAAGGTAAGGATGAATGTTAGTGCCACACTGCATGTGAACAGTAGGCCAGGCCATCTCCTTCCAGCTAGGTCTGTGGGAGAGCCAGCTGGCGGAGCAGGCTGATGGTGCCAGCCTGGCACCAGCTTGTTTGATGGACAATTGAGTCCAGTCTCTCTTCAGCTTGTCCTGGAAGCACAGTTGGACATCAGTGGTAACACAGGGGCTGTGATTTGCAAAGAAGAAAACTAGGTTTTCACAATTAAATCTTTATCTTTTATGGTTTTAATGAAATCAAATTCTAAGAACTTTGATATGGATTTCTTGATGGCCTCCTCAGATCAGATTAACTCGAGTCCATTTCAGGAGGCAAGTGTTCATGTTGTTTAAACCACCAACCCAGCCGGCACTGACTGCTCCAGAGAGGTCAACGTTGAATGAACTTAAGATACTGACCAACCCTTCTCCCATCCCCAGATGCTCTCCAGGGTTGAGCTCTGGTGGCCAGGGGAAGTGTGAGAAAGTCTAAAGCATCCATTGGCTTTAGAAGACATCAGTGTCCCTGATAGGCAGCCAGTGCCTTTCATCTGCATGCAGTAGACTTAAACCATGTTTAAAAGAAGGCTAGCCGTAACCACCTGACGGAATGCTGTGTAACTCTTTAAGGTCGCGTTCTCAGAAGCCTGGAAATGCTCAATATAATATTTATCACATTAGAAAATATTCATAACTTAATACAAAGTGGGGAGAAACAATCTAAAACTATGTGTACTTTAAGATTAGAGTTGTGTTTTTGTGTGTACACACATGGATACATGAGCACACGTGCCTAGGCATGGCACTGGAAAGAAATTCTCACTCAATTGCTCAGAATGGTAATCTGAGTGGTTGGCTTATAGATAATTTTTACTTTCTTCTTTTTCTGTATTTTCTAAAATTCCTATAATGACTGTCTTATTACAAAAAAGTCAAGTTAATACAGAACTTACAACTTTCATAAATACATAATTAGAAAATAACAGACAATGTCTTTCACTTATTATTCTTTTTCTAGTTTTGATAATACTGTTCCTCATCATTTAAGAACCACAAATTAAAACTAAACATCTAGGCCGGGCATGGTGGCTCATTGCCTGTAATCTCAGCTCTTGGGGAGGCCAAGGCAAGCTGATTGCTTGAGACAGTCTGGCCAACATGATGAAACCCTATCTCTACTAAAAATACAAAAATTAGCCAGGCATGGTGGTGGGCGCCTGTAATCCCATTTACACGGGAGGCTGAGGCAGAAGAATCACTTGAACCCGGGAGGTGGCGGTTGCAGTGAGCCGAGATCACACCACTGCACTCCAGCCTGGGTGACAGATTGAGACTCCTTCTCAAAAAAACAAACAAACAAAAAAAAAAACACTAAAACTAAATCTCCTACTCTGCTTCTGAGATATCATAGAGTCCAGTTGTAGGATAGCACCCTTCAGTCAGTAATTTTTGTTTTTGTATTTAAAATAAAATTGCTATCTTCGTAAATATTTTTGAACGTTACTTTTTTTTTTTAATTAGCATGTTGATGTGTGCACATGCCCTGCTCTTATTTCCAGTCTCAACCTTCTTTGTTCCCCACATTCCTCGGGGTAGTTGAGTGGGAGAGGGAGACGTGGGGCACCCGTGTGTGTGCGCTGGCACTAACCGCACCCGATGCTCCTGACCTTGGCTTCTTCCTTTGGCTGTTTGTCGACAGTCAGACTGTTATGGCTTGTTGAGGGGCATCCCCCGCACTCAAGGAGCCCGCTTGCGGTTGATTTTCATTTCTGTCAGTCAAATTAGTGTAGTTTTATGAGGACTGAAGTCCATGACGGGTTGAAAAGGAAAGAAGTAAAAGGAAAAAATGTGAGAATTCAGCACTTTCTAATTTCTCCCAGGTAATCTGTCCCCAGTGGATCACCAAACGGAAGCCTCATCCATCCAAATACTATCACTTTGATTCCAAGTATTCTTATCTAAACACCTCAATTACTATTAATAGTATAATTTTTCTCCCTCCGTTTGAAATGTAATATCAAGTTGTGTTTATATCTATAGAAGTAGAAGCATTTAGCCCATCCCAGATGTCAGAGAAGATCCTTCTAAGGCTGCTAAAGCATCCCAATGTCATCCAGGAACTGAAGTATGATGAGAAGAACAAGAAAGCCCCTGAATACTACCTCTACCAGCGCAACAAGCCAGTAGACTACTTCGTTCTCATTCTGCAGGTCAGAAGAATTATTCAATAGTGGTTTGCTCTCCCTGAGTATCCATCTTTCAGTTTGGTGTAAGTGAATGGGTGTCGCCGTGTACATACTGAACCCTTTCTATAGGGGGCAGCCTTAGACATGGGATAATTTCATCTTCCTGTTTTCATATCTGTAAAGTAATTCTAATTAAAGCATTGCCAATAGTTACTTAAATTTTCAATACTAAAAGGTACTTTGACTGGGTGCAGTGGCACATACCTGTAATTCCATCACTTTGAGAGGCCAAGGTGGGAGGATTGCTTGAGGCCAGGAGTTCAAGACCAGCCTGGGCAACATGGTGAGACCCCTGTCACTACAAAAAATTTAAAAATGAGCTGGATGTGGTGGCATGCACCTGTGGTCCCAGCTACTTGGGAGGCTGAGACAGGGGGCAGTGGGCGGGGGGATTGCTTGAGCCCAGGAGGTTGCCATGTTTGTACCACTGCACTCTAGCCTGGGTGACAGAGCAAAACCCTGTCTCAAAAAAAAAAAAAAAA